AAATACCCAGTGTACATAAGAAAGGTGTAACTTATGTAGCACTTTCAGTACTGCCTTCAAACAGGAACTAAAATTATACACCCTGAAAATCATTCTCGGTGATAACAAGTTCAATGTCAAAACTGGCTGCTATTTGAAACACAAGACAGGGCTTGCTTACCTTTACCTTTTTAGAAAGAACAGTTAAGTAAGCCCTTTGCAGAATAGTGTATTTTTTTTATCCACACTATGTGCATATTCTAGAGACGACCTTCCTTCCAGTTTCTACTTTTTCAATTGTATTCAAGACTTTAGTTAGTGACATACTCAAATAATTAAATGTTCTTATTGGCTGTAGTATGATTTCAAAATATTACTTAATTACAGCTACGTCCCACTGTCAAATCACTTCCTTGCTTGCTGACTCAGACTCTCAATAAAACATGAGCATTATAAATCCATGATCCACTTTGTGTGAGGACAACTTCTGAGGTAGTTAGACAGCTGGTAGATTACCTCTTTACACCTAAATCTTGTGTGAGGCCTTAACAAACACCTTCCTTGTAGAGAAGAATGACCGCATGTTGAACAGTTGCTCCATTAGCAGATAGATGCACCTAGAAATGAGGGGGACTGGTTTTCACCTTCCAGACCTTTGAATTCTGGCCAGTTTTATTCTCCTCACTTCCTGTCATTCAAAATTACCTCACTGAAATTTCATACTGGCCTCAGTCAGGGACCTAATACAAGAGAGGGGGGAGGGTGCCTCAACCACAGACCATCCCATGGGGACGTCCAACTCCTTCCACCAGCCAGCCAACCAACCAACCTCACTCGACATATGACACAGTGAATACTGACATTCACAATGAAGAAAAGTATGGTGCTGCATGTGCTCTGCGAAACACAAAGAAGTGAGAATAATATTCAAGTGCGATGAGGTTGCTTCGTTGATAACCACATCTCAAAGAAACTGTGGACTTTTATCACTCTCACTAGAAAGGAGTAAGAATGCAATAATGGTATTCAAACTTGTTGTGCAGCAATAACCCACTGCAATAATTTTGGAAAATTACATTTAACTTGATGTGTGGCCATGAGAACGAACTGCCCAGAGACCAGGCACTAATCACATCGAGACATCAGCCGCTACCACGCAACGGCAGCTTCGAGACATAACTAGTTCATACCACAGCAGAAGAGACCATGGCAGCACAGATATTTTGGTTCACATTAGCAATTGCTGGGTACTACAAATAAAAATAATACACTCCTCTCGCATCTTCCGTGACACCAAATTAACCAATGAGAGTGAAGGGTATCGGCAAATAATAGCATTTAGAACTGCTGGTGTCTTTTCTTGATGACCATGTATAAACTGCAGTGTTAGCAAAGCAAACTGATTGTGGGGCCACCGTATGCCCCTCAGATGCAATGCTCGCAGAACCTTATCCCAGAATTGATGATCTTATTATGAGAAACAATACTTGCATTAAGAAACCGTTGACTCTGATCACCAGTGATAGCCTACCAGTACAAAGAGTTGGTGTAGTTAACTTGAGAGCACTTTAGTATAATGGTGCTGTGGTGATAACCCACAGTTCAACAGTACTGGGTGGTAGCACTGGATCCAAGTCTCCCTTACCATCATTTTGGTCACAAAACGTTCAGTACCCACTGTTGTAAAAGGGTGTTTCAACAATGATCTCACTTTCCATGTTGAAACAATGTGTCCGAAACCTAGATGCTAGGAAAATCTGGCAGACGGACATGAACGGGCCCATACGGCATGAAGAACATCTACAAATGGGTATAGTATTTTGCCCAAGTCTATGTGGGTTCTCCAATGTGAAGTTAGGTTAGTTCAGGTAATTTTAGTTGCCTTGGGAACCTGCATGAGGAGGAAACTGGGAGGTATCTGATGTGTGGCTTGAGGTTGAAAAGGAGATGTGCACTGGGCAAATGCCAGTTTTTTGTGATGTAGGGTGTGCAACCATCAGTGGGAGCACATCCCCATGTGGGGTGTGGCAACTTGTCGGGGAAGAACCCCTCGGTGATGGCTCTGTGGGGCAGAGGCAAAACAGAAGCTGATGCACCATGAGATGGGGAACCCTGGTTGGGGCAAAGCCCCCTATGGATTAGGCTGGTTTGGGAAGTTTTAGGTTAGGTGCATTTAGAATTCAAAATATTCAAAGAACACGTAAAAACTGTAAATTCCTGTATAAATTAAACCTTTCCAGACTTGTTTCAAACAAGACTTGAGACAATTTAAGATGATGGTGCAAGAAACATGAACAAAAAGAACTCTGCAATTATAATATTTGCTGCTTAGGAAGCATTTCATTTGTGTGGTATATACATATTTTACAGCAGTTCTGAAGTGAGGGGAAAAGAGGGTAAAAAATTGCAGAATACATTCTTACCTGAATATTTAATTCTAAATTCTTCCACTGACAGAACCTTGTATATTTATCACTGTAAAGAGAAAGTAACAATATATGAATAAACACAGTATTAAGAAACAGTAAAATGCTTGATGAACATATAAACAGTATCTGAAAATCATAAGTTCTTGAAATCTGAGAATTATTAATTTATTTTTTCACACACACTTTAATTTCTGAATCCAGAAAGATACTGTACCATACAAAAACAACCAGGTCAATATTTTTAAAACAAAATTAAAGAAATGCTATAATGCCATAAAATACAGCCATTTCTCCTATAATGCAAGTTACATTCCTGGATAAAAATGTGTTATGAAAAAATCATGGTATCATGTTTTATTAATATGCACCAAAAAACGTTAGTGTTAACCCGCACAAAAATATTGACACCTTTCTGACAGTGTAAGTGGTAGTCAAAAGAATTCAGCATTAGAATATTCGATGCCAATTCAAAATGACCGGAGCCCTTTTCATACCTGCGTTTATGGTTTACTTCTCTGAATTCTTTTATGTACTTTATTTCGATCACGTTATGTCTAACATGCACCTGTGTTATGGAAACAGCTTTCTCTTATAAATCATTTGTGTTATAACCAATATGCATAATGAAAACACATTATGGGAGAAAAGACTACACAGTTAAAAACCAGTTTATTTTCTCATAAGCTCACATGTTCATTGATACTGCTCTACTCTGTACGGAAGAAATTATAAACGTATGTGCATGGGATGCGTATGGATTGTTAAAGATTCCACTTCACAATGACGATGAACATTCAAAGTTTCATTCAACATCTGTACTACATATAAATTTTCTGCATGCACAACTGTATTTCAACATCAAGCCTGAGCACTGCAATTATAAAATAATTTAATTCTCACAAATATTACACCAATTACTTCTGCTAAACTACGAAAAAGTCCCAGAATCAAAGGCTACAAAATAAACGTTAGTGAGATCACTGCATACAAATGATCTACCAGATGGTTTGCACTTACAAAACTAAAACTTTCTGCTGGAACAGGGTGAGATAAAATGGCTATGCATTTCATGTGACTGTACATTCCTGAATTAAACCTTGAACAGTACGTTCTTATGCCTTGACTTTGTAACAGAATCAACTGTTCCTATTTGCAACATTTGTGAACTGAAACTTACCTATCTCCTCACTAAAACACAATTCCTCAGGAATTAGAAATTAAAAGATGTTAACATTTAAAAAACCATAAGTTCACATACAAGGCCACAGATAACATGACAGAAAGCACAGGATCTTGTCACACAGCATTTGATTAGCCTTGCAAGTGTAAATATTATACGCAATGTCCCACAATAGGCCACCCACAGCTTAAGGATGTCTTCAGGCCCCAATGTGACTCAGATAAACATGTCCAGAAGTCAACTGTTTGGGAGATAATGGGAATTTTAACAAACCAGGTTGTACACAGAATAATTGTATGAATAATTTACATTTTATTGAATTTATCAAATTTAACAAAGACAAATTATATATATAATTTAAATTTTATGCAGTTATTGCTAATGTCCACACCAATAAGGGAAGTGCATGAAAAAACCTTCCTGTTTATTTATGAACATTGTGGTGCTTTGTCAGATGTTAGAACAGACCTCAGACGAGGAAGTTTATCATTCCCTCTGTGAGCAAAAGCATCCATTATGGGCCTCGTGCTCGACTTCACTACATATACCACGAATGTCGCACATCCCAAAGATTGCAGTGCCATCCAAACGAGTTAGTCAAGTGGCCTTGGTGGCCAAGCAGCGAGACCCCACTACACAGTCTAACACTTCTGAATGTTTGCTGAGAAATTTCCTTTTTTTGGGGAATTCTGATGCACAAATGGAAAGACATCACTGCTTGAATCAATGCAATTCCGTAAGCCCATATCTTCAAAACAACTGAATTTCACACACGTTTATGTGTCTGTTTTGAATGGAACTGAGCCCAAAAAATTTCCTTGAGCAAAATACATCCTGCTGACTTAAACTCAGACAGAAGGAGAATATGGTTGTATCTGCTCTAAAAAAATTATTATAATTATTGCCACAGTAATGGTGTTCAGGGTTATTTTACCTAATTGGTTATGTTTGTATATGTGTGCATTACAGTCAAATTTCTGTAACTGTTGACTGATCATAAAAAAATAAGTTCAACAACTATCATGGCCCAAAGCCTCTTTCCAGCCTGTGTACTCGACTGTCATTTTTGTCAAAAGTGGAAGTTCAATAGTTCCTTCAGAGGCAGAAAGGGACACCAACAGCCATTTGAGCAGCTCCCCCTTTGATTTCATTTTTAAATTAAAGGGCAGCAGCCTACAGTTGCCAATGGTATCTATTAATACTGGAAATTAATATATTATGTGTTCAGATCAAAAATTTAAAATGTGCCTACCAGACAGGTAATAATAAAAGGGTGACACCATGAAAACTTATCAGCAGTGTGAACATCCTTAATGCAGTAAATGAGAAAAACCTGATTTTTAAATTCCCCAACAAAAGCATAAAATATTTGGAGTTGCCTTTCCACCAGTGCTCTCCTAAGCGGTTTGTACAGGATTATGATACATTAAATATTTTTATATTCATCTTAAACAACCTTGCAGTGAAACATTAGTACCAACAGCTAAGACAACTAAACTTTTTAAACATGTCACATATCCAAAATAGGAGTCCTGCAGGAAATTCTGACATCAGGTAAATAACAAAAGAAGCCTGTCTGAATTTACTTTGCGAGGATTCTTCTTCTAGTGATGCGTCAGTATCACAAAACTGTTGTTTCAAGTCACTAACCTTGGTTACTAATGAATGGACACAGACAGCTTTCTGTAATCACTTACAACCAAGTGGTAACTATATGCACCACCCAATTTAACAATCAATAAAAATGCACTTTTCCTGTCACCTGTATTAATGAGTCTCACAGCTGCCAGAAGCCCTCATGCAATATTGTCTTAAATTAAACCACTTGCCAACTTAGAAAGAATTTTTGCTTACTTTCAAGTGACAGTAATGTAACTTTTCCAGGCAATTACTTGGTTCAAAATAATCTGTAATATCACTATATATATATATGAAGTTAACAAGATTTCTTCTGATCTTCTTAGCCTTCAGTACCTAACAAGATTTTAGTATATTAGTCCCACAAACTGCAATCTCTCACCTAAACTACCCCAGGTGTTAAGGTGTTTGCGCTCCTGATAATTATTACCTTCATTCTCACCTTTCTAAAAACTTCTTGAAAGGTACACCTCTAAGATGATTATAAATCTCTTCGATGTATGGCTACAAACAGATAAACATGAGTAGATCAATTACATTATGAAAAAATAATATAATGTATATCACAGTGAAAACACATTTATACAATCTGCTTCCAATTTGCACTTACCTCAAATAAATTAACTGGAATTTCATTCTTCATTAAATACTTTTGTACATGAAGCACTGCTTCTTTTGAATAATCCTATAAAAACAGCAAAATTCAGGTGTAGAAACTGTCCTTGAAATAAACTAAATATGTGTGGTATACAGCTTCTGTAAAGAAGTAACCACCAATTCACAGTCTTCCTAAAAGTATGCACACTGGGAAAAAGAATCAACGAGAAAATTACAAAGAATCACAGGCATTTCACATACTTAACATTACATTAAAGCATAATTGCCTGGTTCATAAAATATATTAATTACAGAAAGTAATTATGCTATTTCCATTATTTGAAGCTTTTGGGGCGACGTAACTCAATAAAATCTTCTCGGGCGATCAGCAGCGTCAAATGGTTCAGGGTTCTCGTGATGAGGACGGAGATGGTTCCTGAAATGTCAGTTTCCTCTTTTAACCATTTGCCGCGGCTGATTGCCCAAGAAGATTTTACTGAAAATGGAATTTGTGTTTCAATTTGGAAGAAAAGCAAATTACTCTTTTTCATCACCAGTCAGACTTTTCTCTGATGCACTTTCCAGGAAGAAACTGTGTCAGAAAAGCCCTTGAAGGTACATGCATTCAATATTTTAACTGGAAGACCTAAAATAAGTTTTTACATTGTCACATGGAGGCAGTCACCACATTTCTGCATGTGACTCCAGAATATGCATTGCACTACGGACACTCAACCCCACTGAACGATCAAGCAGTAGAAAGTTATCAACACCACAGTCCTGTCTCAATATCTTCTTTGAGCTGTTGAAGTGCATAATCAAACTCTTCCTATCAGTGACTGTGTTGCCAGATCAGACCAGTCTTCTGGACACTCAAATGAAAATGCAGAAGGTCTGAAATCTTCTTCACAGCACAAATCACCGTGACAGCTTTTCTGTTTTGTAAGCAACTTTATCAACAGCAAAACCAGCAGCGTGGAATATCACACGTTATGCCCATTTCCTGGATTTGACAGCAGATCAAGATGTCATCAGAAAGACTGGCCCCACCTATAGCTTGATTATGCAATTTTAAGTTCACAAACTCCGACATATTTCTTATTCCAGTGTTCAACCCGATCAATAGATTCTTTAACCACGAAGTTTCATCCAAGGACAACAATTCTGTTATCAACCCATTCTATGAGGATGATATCATTTTTTTCAGAATATCCACTGTTTCGCCTGTTTGCCTGGCATTAGTGGAACATCTGCACATCTGCTGATCCTAGCAGCACAAATGCAATCCTACCTGAAGGCTTGAAAATTCTGTATCAAGAAACAAACTGCCAAAAAATAAATTCTGGCCCTTTTCAGTTTTGACTTATTATCTAAATTAAGATTATCTGGTGAACGTTGATCAACTACTTACAGTGATTAAATTTCATTGCTGCTCATTCATACATAAAGAGAAACGCTTCCCCCAGTACATTACAAGGCAATATGGCTCTAAATCAACATCAGCAGAATATAAAACAACTCAGTCAGAAAGTTCCTCAAAATTTGGTTTCGTATTTCTCTCAGCACACTTCAAGACAATATGATTGTACGTGAACATCTCCCTCAGCGGACTAGGACGCCACAGGGTTCCAAAGAAACAACTGTCAGGACAATAATATGAGTGAACCTTATTTCTAAAAGAACGAGCGAACAAGCACAACTTTAAAATAACAATGCTGACTGGTTTTCATAAATTTTAACAGGATGCAACCATCCCAATTACCACTTTAATGCAACAGATTAAAATACGATAATTTTAATTTTCAAGTTTTAAGATTAAAAAGCATTAAAATGAGCATACTTATATGATGTAAAGGATGAATTTTTATCCAAATGTAAAACCACTGAAGATGGCATCATGAGGACTGAATTGTATGTGTCTATTTAGAATGACAAATGACAAAAAGCCACTAATATGTGAAATGAATGTTTTTGTCAGAAGGTTTCACGAAACCACTGTTCTAGAGGAGTATGTCCCGCAGCTCACTTCAAGACAATAAAATTTATTGATGAATATCTCTATCAGCAGATTACATACACTTCCATAAAAACACAAGTGCCAGATGGGCCCCCAAACTGTGGCTCTACAGAGGTACTCCCCATAGCACACTAAACAGATTTCGCAGAGAAGATTTCCATTGGCAGGTTCTACACAACCATCTTAAAGACAAGGCATCAAACAAACGAAGATCCTTCTGACAGGGACAAAGCTGCTTACGTGCGAATGCGACAAAAGCTCCTTCATGATGAAGTTGTCGTATATTTCTCGTGCCTGTTTCCGCCTGTCCTCCGCACACTCTAGCTTCTCAAACTGCTTGATCTGCAACAAATTACATTAAACACTCTGTTACACTTGCAGTTGACAGAGCTTCCCCACAGCAAGATGCTTGAACAGTGCCCTGGTAATAATAAATATACTAAAACCTGCTTAAAGAGGAATACCAAATGCCATAGACACATTTCCACTTAATACAGGTTTTTCTACATAAAATACTGCACAGTGCATACCTCATGTGTTTGTAGCCCACAGCGCAGAACGGCAATACATATTTTCTTTTTTATTTCTCTCAATTTTTTCAGTGTTCCATTTAAGTTCTTTGTCTACAGCCCAACATGGCTTCCTACATCTGCAAGCAGCCTTCCTTCTCATCCAGGTCTAATTCCACATTTTAGAAAATTATATGAACAGAAAATAATAAATATTAGAGAAGACCAGTTTCCAAAAGTCTTGACTTCACTTTCCATGCAAAGCAGTTTCATTACATTCACACTTTCACTGCAGTAAAAACGCTGTCGCACACAAGTTCCGGCGTATTTATTTGGGTCCATACTAACATTATTTAATGTCATATCAGATTTGTGTTCTGAATATTACAGCCACATAACAGCATACGGGCATATACAAATTAAGAGCTGAATAAGGCAAGACGCAAGATACGATGAAAATGGTGGCTCCACGAAGAAATGTACACGTTAAGAACTCAAAGAAGGAAATAGTACGTTACTTAACTGGCGCTGAAAAGCTTTCCCTCCACTGTTGTTAAGTTTGTTTATTCCTTCCATTACTTATCTACATGTTCTTAACCGCACTGCTTACCATCACTGAATGGGAGAACAAATGTAAATGAGTTGGGAAGAATCTAGCAAGGAAGCCTGAAGGGAAAATTTCAGGTTAAAGCAGCCTATCTACAGGCAACGTATGAAACCTGGGAACGATGCAAAATGTAGCTAACATTCAGTGCACCTAAGAATACAGCAAGGCCTTAATGCGCAAATAATGAACTCTGGAAAAATGCATGCTTTCACCAATTACTGAACATCAAATTTTTTTTTTGGTTATTTCCAAATATATTTAGGTTAAATGACCAATCACTTAATTAAATTTATGAATAAACTTCAATAGTTTCTAAAACTCAACTTGTACTTAACCAACAGATGGTTCAGCTGCAGAGGGCGCATCGCCAAGGTGACGTAAGATTCGTATATGAAACGCCAAAGTTTGAATTCCGAAACCTAAACAGAGCACGTCCGTAAATTTCTACGAGAAGAAGCCAGCCATTTTCGGTGCCACCTGTTATTAATCGCTGGTATTTCCTGAAGAGCGCCGGCCGGGAACGAAATAACTTCCTGGAAAAAATTTTACTTCAACAAGCGCGAGTAAACTGGACGGCGGAAGTGAACTGGGCAGACCCACCACAAACAACACAGTGCATGCAACGTGACAAAAGAACGACATCGCGATGCGAAACTTCCCACGAAGGAAGGAAACGAGCGGTCTTCAAAAAATTCATCAATTCGGCAGGAAGAAACCGGATTATGACGTCATCACAGTCTGTTACGTAAATACAGCCTCAAGCGTTCAGAACTCTGCGTGTGGTTAGTCAAGACGTCGTGTGAAGAGCAGGAAACCTAATAAAATCAAACAAATAAGCGTTTAACGAAGTCCGCTAGATACAATGGCCATTTCTCACAGTTTTCTCTTGCACCGTAGAATTTGCTGGACAGAACGAACTCTTCACATTTCTGAACATTCCGCCTTTTTTTTAAGAAACAGCGCCGATTCAAAAGTGACGCATTCTTGCACGCGTTACGTTTTCAGGCGCTAGATACGCACACGCACGCTTCAACATTTCACCAACGACGAGAACAGAAAGTGGTGCACCCGCGTCTCTGCAAAGAACACGGCGAATGCCAGCAAACGATCCAGTGCCAGGTCACGAATGTGGTGGGTTGCGGGCACATCCACAACTTCCTGACACACCGCACACGGAGTCCGTCGAATTGCATCCTTAACACCCGCCGTTCTTGCGGATAGCTGGAATTAGGCCCACGTTCCAGAGTCGTTGGCAGTGTCCGCTCGTAGCAAAAAGATCTGCACTGGTAAAACGTGTTTGTCGCTGTGCAAAGTTAAAGCGGCCCTCGATATTCGGCAACGAATCGGGGGAGGAGGAAAACACGCAAAGGGGGCAGAATTTGTCGTGATGCCAAGAAGATGCTCGGGAGTGGTCAGTCTGCAACTCATCAGACTGGTCTTAGAGCGGGCGAGCAGAGAAAGCTGTCCAAGACACACAACAAAGAAAGCGATCTAGAGAGGCCAAACAGATGTCACTAGCGCAGAAACGTCGTCTGTTCCAGTTCCGACTCTGGACGGCCAGGACACTACGTTACACGCGGCTCTGTCCTACTACAGCAGCCGCCAGCACATTCCACGCTTCCAGGCCACAAAAGGACTTCACCCCCGCCGCGCACATCGAAAATACGCGAATCGGGGAACGTGTAATACGACGGCGGACCTTCTTAGCCCCACCCCCCTCCTGTGACGAAAATGTGGGGCGAATCAATCAGTGAAACTGCGCGCGAAGCAGAGCGCCTGCGCAGCAGCTTCCACCGTGTCGGGGTCAGGATACTCCTCGCAAGACACTGAAAGAGCGCGCATGCGAAAACGCGTTTTACGACGGCCACTTCGCGGCGCTGACATGAGGCGAGCGGCATCGACGAACATGTTCAACGGCGAAAGCTGTTGTCCGAAGAACGCGACCTTCGCCGCGTGGAACGTGAGATCGCGCCCTCAAAATCCAGCGTTGCATAAAACTGAGTGTATCGACAGAAGAGAATTGGGAATTGGGGCTTTCTTAGAAACAGGCCGAAAGAAAAGTTTGGCGTGTCACTGGGATCTGTCTTCAAGCACTTTTAGCATCGTTTGTGATTTCCAACTTGTATTTGCGAGGGAAAACACTCGTAGTTCGCTCTTTGTAGCGGGAAGAACGGCTCGCAATTTCTCGGCTACTGAGCTGGTTTTATCGGTAAAGCTTCCGACCGGCTTACGGCGACGTTATAAATCGAAGACCCATGAAGTACTTAGACAGACGAATTTCCAACAGGCAACAAGTTGTGTAATCACGAAAAACGAGCAGCTGTAGGGGGCGCAGGGAGTATTCGATCTGCACAATGAATTACACAGGGCACCATCTTTAAAAATGTAAGTGCGATGACTGTGTTCCTGACAGCAAACACGAAAATGCAAAACAGGGTCCAAGGCAGGTGAGAGATGGATTAAAAAGAGGAGTTTCTTTTCTTTGTCAATATCCTTTGTTGTAATTTGGCACGTGATTTGTGAACGTATCTTTTCCGGTTATAATCGAGCTTTGCTGTGCGCGTTTCGGTATTTGTTTTACTGTAATCTGGGGTAAACTTTTGGTCATAACATTTGTGGCGGTCTGATGTTTCCTGAAGAAATAGCAGCCCGCTGCACCCACCGTTCGACGAAGCGGGCGCGAAAACCTCAGATCCTACTGTGCCCATTTCGGCAGAAGATTTCCGTTCAGCCAATCGCGGACACCGTGGGCCGTTCTTTCCAAGCCCTCCTGCAGGACTTCTCTGGAATCCGAATGCTTTCCGCCAGCCTTTGATGCGATAAACTGACGACCAGTTTCGAGACGGGGCCCCGAACGTCCGAGTCTTTCTACTTCCAGACTTTCTCTCACTCAGCGCGCTCTGATTTCCCACTTCCGCTGGTCACTAGCCACGTTATCAGCCTGTAAAGAGACCACCGGGTAAGCAGGCAAGAAAAAGTCGAGCATCTACGACGGCTTCCTGCGGCGATGAAGCCAGGAGATCGGCGAGGCCGAAGTAATCGATAAGAAATTTTTTTGCACGGATTCGCGCGTACTAATTTTTGAAGCGACAGGTTCGTGATGTGAAAAAATGGTGGCCGACACTGGAGAGCCACAGCAAACGTGGCCAAGAGACGATAACACAGCTGTTTGGTCTGGAGGACTGCGCGAATTTCAACATCGATTTTGCTTCACACGAAACTCGAATCAAAATGGGTCGAGATTCCGGGTTTTCCGCTACACAAAAAACAGGACCTCACTGTGACGCAGCGTAAATATTTACGGAGCCACAAACAAAATGCCCGACCCTAAGAGGCATTTCTTTCGAGAGCAGCTGCTGCCACCTGGATGCATGACGGCAAGTATCGATCGACTAGTCCGAGGCTCTAGTCAGGGGTGTCCCAACCAAACAACGCGTCTTCTGACCCCACAGAGCGGAAGACCCAGTGGACAATCCCAGTCTTCAGAGACACGCAATTTCTCGGTGTTCTAACGCCGATACCGAAACGCGTGTTTACCCCGAAAGAGGTAGGCACATGAAGAAGTTTAGTTCTAAACAAGTCCGTGAGGCTCCACGGCCGAAATAAGAAAGAATCTGAATAATTTCTTTGGATACTTACGCAGGTCCTCGTGTAATTTGTGAAATTTGGCTTTCAAGTGGAGGGAACCAAAATTTATTTCGCCGTCCGCGCGCGCCAGCCCTCATGACGGAAGGCGTCGTCTTCCAGCACGAACCAGCGAACCAGAAAGCCCCAAGCAACTGAGAATTCTAAGTTCCTACAAAATGGCAGACGAACATCTACGAGTATCGACCCTAGAGCCTTCTACTACAATGACGCAGACTGATCTTCGAAGAAGAAGAAGAAGAAGAAGAATAAGCACGCGTGTTCTAGTGTTTTCATCGGTTTCTGTGATTTTAAGATCATTTGGTGTTTAGAGTGAAATAAGTAAAATAAAACACAAACAGAACACGAACGTCCTCCTCGCTCCGGCCAACCGCCCGCCACCTGAGCGGTCCTTGGGAGGAAGAGGCGGGTGGACGGTCTTCGTGCGTCACTGAATGCGGGTTTCTTTCGCCTCTTCGTCGTTCATTTACTTTTCCCCTCCAGACCGACACTCGGAGCAGAAATTCAACTTCCTGGCACGCGGATGCCAGCGTCTCCCGGAAAATCGTGACCGCCGCGAAAACCTCGCGTTAACGGCGGGGCTCCAGGATTTCCTGACACTGGAGGCAGAGAACGTCTTCAACGCGAACGTCAAAGTGTAACCCCACAGCCACCGGACGGATCTGGATGAAATTTGGTACTGACGTTACGCGATCGTGTTTGCCCTAAGATCGAAGTCTTCAGACTTTCCACGACCGAAGGCGGACGAAGAAACTTGTGAGGTGCATTTGCAACATTTTCTAAAAACACAAAAATGCTTTCTATATCGGGAAATAACAACATGGCGGCCCCGTGAGTCATCGTCGATTTGCGCTCTTAAAGACGCGTCATTTGCATAGTTCGAAGGCAAAGTCGTCCGCGAGTCCAGGGGGACCGCACCACCGACCACGGCGTCTTCGTCTTCTGACTAGCGACTCTGCGCTGTTTCTGGTGCGTCTTACCTTCCATAATCTGTCCTGAGCTGGGCCCGTGCCAGCAAAGGGGCGAAGTTCCACTCTCTCCGAAATACGAGAGGCCTTAGAGCGTCTTGAAGTTTTCGAAACGCTGGTCTGGAGTCCGTCTTCGGGAAGCCAAGAGTTAGCACGCAAACTAATCGCGATTTGTTCCATTTCCAAGGTCGTCGACTTCAGACACCGCCCTTAGGCTTAATCATACGGATTAGATTCGAACGCCCCGCACCCCCACTTCTCGCTACGCCACACGTAAACAGAGCTCGTCCGTGTAATGTCCTCAGACCACTTCGTTTTAATTCACATCGCAAATTCATCCAATTTTCCTTTCATATCCCCACGAAAGACGAAAACACG